CAGCCTAATTTCCTGTGGCATTTTGTGTATCATGCACCACGTTGCGTGGCCCTTGTATGCTGCTGAGGAGGCAGTTGCAGATTCTGTGGCTCAGTTACCTGCATCTGCCTAGTTGCTTTCTGAGTAACTGTACAGCAGTGTGTCAAATATGTGGCCCGGGGGCCAGATCAGGCCCCCAGAGGGCTTCTCTCAGGCCCGCAGTGGAACTGGCTGTCTTCTGCTTCTTCCAGTTCTGCTGCTGCTGCATCATCATAGGTTTGCAGCTTACAGATACACACCTGAACAGCATACTCAAGATTACAACAGCGCAGACATTTTGACACAGTAATTCAGAGCAAGAAGTGTCAGTTATCAGACACTGTTAAATAAACAAAATATTGCAAGAGTGCTAATGTTTTGAGCATGTTTTAAAGTTAAAAAAAACCCCTTTGTGTATGTGTCGTTTATAAAGTTTATATCTCCGCTACCTGGCATTATTTTATGACACACATGGCCTGGCCCAACAAGGTCTCATTTATGTCAGATCCAGCCCTCATAACAAATGAGTTCGACACCCCTGCTGTAAAGAGTCCCCACATGTTAGAGGGAAGGGCTTTCAGGTTAGAGAGCAATATTCCCAGATGTTAGCCCTGACATTTTTCTATAGAAATTAAGTGCTGCATCTGTTATCTGGGTAAGAGGAAGGGACTTTTGGGATAGTGGCAGGCAGGAGGTACAGGGAAACATAAAGAGTTGAAACATCCCTCTGTGGCCTTTGGCACCCCCTCCTGTAACTCCTCTTATCATAGAATCATAGCATGTTGGAAGGGACCTTGCAGGTCATCTAGTCCAACCCCCTGCACTCTGCAGGAGCATAGCTGAAAGATAGCCCTACATACCTACAACATACCCGAAAGATGGTCCTCCAGCCTCCGCTTGAAAACGTCCAGCAAAGGAGCATCCACCACCTCCCGAGGCAGACTGTTCCACCGCTCAACCACTCTTACAGTTAGGAAGTTTCTGTAAGAGTGGTTGAGCAGGCTCTTGTCTGAGCCTTTGGCAGGTAAGGCATTTAAAAAGGCAAAATAGACTCAGTATCCATAAGGACTAGAAACTTGTAACTGGCAAATCCAGAGAGATGTCCAGATATTGTTAGAGGAGCCAGGCTGTTTGAGACCAAAGGTCTACTTGTTTCCAATTGTGCCCAATTTTGAAGAGACCCACAAGGAGGGTATTCCCCTCCCCTACTCCCCTGGCATTAGAGCATTTGGTACCCCTATTTAGTATTCATGGAATCTTTTGATCAGACATATGCACCGCCATGGTTTGGTCTGTTTCTCCTTTTGAAGCCAAGTAGGACCGTGACCATTGCTATGTCTTGGGGCAGCAGAGTTTTTTCCCTTGGTTTATAACAGCATGGACTTTAAACAAGTGAACATCTGTATTTAAAACCAGTAGCATCGATTTCTGTCTGAAGTTTGTGTGGAATTTGGTGCTTGTGTGTTCTATTAGACTGCAGAGTATTTTCTTGAAGAGGCAGAAGAGGACAACGAGGAGCCTGAAGAACAGGGCCTAGACGATGGCAACAAGGAGACAGATAAAGAATTGGTGGATGAAGAGCAAACAGCCAAGCCGGGGCTCTGCAGGGCTGTTCCTAAACTTTCCTCCACTGAGTCGACGCTGCTGCTTTTCAAGGATAACTCTTCAAAAATGGGGTGACAGTCTCGTTTTTCCCCCCCTTTCACAGACGAAAATGAAATTTTGTACTTTGCATTAAAAGTACTGCATTTATTACAAGCCTTTTTGAGACTTGTTTTTAATGCTGTTTTAATGTGTGGTTTTGATTGTTCATTTTAAACCATTTTTATGTGGTTAAAAATCACGGTTTACCTTGTAAGGATGTCTGGAGTCGTGGCAAATAAATTCTGCAAACTACTAATTACAAAATGATTCGGATTCCTGCAGATCTGTCTTGCTAGAAGAGGTTTGTCCTTCTGGCAGAAGGAGCCTTCCCTTGGTGCAGGACACTCAGACACGCTCGTCTTGAGTTGGGGGGGCTCCTCCTTCAGTCGGAGGAAAGCACTTTCAGTAGTGAAACCAATCTGTGGGATTTGACCCACAACAAGTTGTGATCTTGTAACAAAGTAGATAATGTCAACTGTGCTTTGAGAAACACTATTTTACAATGGTGTCTTTATATTGTTCTGTATGCTGTCATTATTGAACTTTTCTTGCTAACTTTTTCAAACTGTCATCTTATGTTTGGGCTGATTTTGTGTCTTGCAGGTATTCTCTTCCAAGTGAGAAAGCTGAGGTAGACGATGTCATGGGTAAAAGGCCTGACAAGCCAGGTAAACAGTTGCATGTCTGTAGCAGACATTTTCTATTGCAAAAGAGGGTATATTCGCTAGGGATGTCCAATGTCTGTGTTCCCAGAGGTGACTTTCTGAACGCGACCATCTTGGGGCCAGAAGTATATCTCTTTCTCCCCCCTTTATAATGGTTTAAAGTTTGTATCATCTTGCAGTGAGGGGTTCTAAGCCCAGAGTTAACACTGTTCCAAGGGTGTAATTCTCCTTAGGATGGCAGTGACAATCTGTGTCTTACGACTGGGATACATGTTTCCTTATGCATGAAACTGTGGGGTAAGGCCTGTGGGGGCCACTGAGTTTATCTCCAGGCCAACGGTGACATATGAGCCCGAAAATATTCTTCTGGGAGGTCCTGTAAATAAGTTCTCCTTTATTTTCCATATGAAACCGATTTCCATAGTTAAGGTCTAGGAACCAGCTCTTTCCCCTCTGCCCCCTGGTTAAAATAATTTTGCTTTTGGTCTTGACTTCCCCTGTGGGGAAGTGGGGTGAGTCAATGCTGGTTATTTACTAAAATAGGTCTCTAATTTGGAAGGTGCCTCTGGAAGGGGCACCTTGCTGGAGGCTTTAATGGGCATATGGCATTGGCATACTTGCGGGTTTGTGTTAGGGTTGCCAAGTGAAAAAATCGCCGCAGCGAGGGACTCCCGGCTTGCGGATTGAGCGCGTGCGTGCAGTCCGCGCGTGCCGCATGCACGTCACCAGGAAGTGACATGACGACACCGGGCACGCTGGGGGCGGGGCCACGACTGTCCGAGGGAAAACCATAGAGTTTTCCCTCGGATGGTCATGGCCCTGCCCCCAACACGCCCGGCGTTGTCATGTCACTTCCTGGTGACGTGCACGTGGGGGTGGGGTTCCCCCCGGGGCCCGATCCACCGGCGGCGGGGAACAGGCCTCTGGGGCGGAGGTTTCCCCGCCCCTCGGGGGGACTTGGCAAGCCTAGTTTCTGTATATATGTGAGAGTGTGATATTCCACTGGATAGCACTGTGCTGGTCTATATAGCTTCCTTCCAGTCATATTCTAAATTCATTTGGGCTGATTTTGACTTGCAAGGCAATAGCCTTTGAATCGCCGATACATGAGAGGGTGTTTTTTTTTTAAACCACAGAACACCAGTGTCCTATTTTAAAGGGCTGGAACTGAAGGGAAACTAATTCAATCCCTGCTATGCCACGTCGCTAGCTGGGTAGACCTCACTGGGTAGCTCTTGGCCTAACCTTCTGTGAGGCCCATGTATGGCTCTGAATTTCTTGGAATGCATCTGTAGTTTAGCAGACCCACCCCACAGCATAGCCGAATATTCTCCCCCACAAATTCACTTGGCCCGCCACCACCTTTGCCTTCCTTTGGAGGCATGCCAGTTCCAGAAGCGTGTGGCTGTAGTTGAAATCTGTTGTTCCGGTAGTAGAAATTGTCTTATAAAATAATTTGGAAAGAAAGAAAGAAAATAATGTGGTGCGTCATGGTGTGCTAATGGGTGATTTCACTGGACTGAAGTGTTACATACAGTTTGGCTTCGGCTGGGCATGTTTGTAGCATCTAGGCTTTTAGCACACTGTTTCCGTAGCAGCTCCGAGACTGCCCCCCCGTTCATTTCCTTAGTTTTGTTTTATCGACTCTCTCTGTCTCGTCCACCCTCTCCTTCAGAAGACGAAGATTCATTCTTGCTGCCGACCTTGGCCAAAGAGAACAGCCACAACAGCAGCTTTGAGCTAATCAGCTCCATGATCCCCTCCTACCAGCCCTGTAACAAGCAGGCAGCTCGTGGAGGCAGCTTCCTTTCGGCTCTTGGTGTTGTCCGTTCTCCTTCTCCCGGCTTTTTCAAAACCGGCTTTATCAGCTCTGCATCCAAGGTAAGTGTCCTCTCTTCCCCCAGCCTCCCCCATTCTTGGTTCTGATTTGCATTGTGTCAGAACCCACAGCCATAGATGCATTAACATAGTCACTGTTAAGAATAGCAGTTGCCACTTGAACCTAATAAGATATGGGGCATTCGTATGCACCCCCCCACTGCGCTGGCCAATTAGGCACCCTCCCACGCGCGGGCTAGAGCCAGCAAGCGTTACTATGCGAAGCTAGGAATGGGTCGGCTCCCACGGCTGGCCTGGAAGACAGACAACACACATCACCACCTGTACTTCGTTAGAGATAAGCATTTCAGCGCAAAGTGGAGAGAAGAATGTGAAAGCAATTTACACAGACATTGACAGAACATCCCAACCCCCATGGCAGCATAGCTGACACATTAGGGTAAGGCCTGTCTTCCAGTCAACCATTTGTTTATCTAAATGTGTTCTGTTTTGGATTTGCTTAGAGTTCGGGGAAGGCGTCTGAGCCTTCTCTTCCCATAGAGGACTCCCAAGACCTCTACAATGCGACTCCTGAAGAGAAAAGCCCCAATCCGGCTGCTGCCAGGTTTCAGTTCCAATTCTCCCTGGAAGACGACACCCAGAGTCAACTGCTTGATGCAGATGGGTAAGTGGTGGATAACGGTAGCACTTCTGTGCAGGGTAACACTTTCAAAAATACTTGTTAAAGTTTTCAGAGCCTATGGTAAAGGTTCCCTTGCTCGAAAGCCAATCGAGTCCGACTCTAGGGTTGCGGTGCTCATCTCCGTTTCAAAGCCGAAGAGCCAGCGCTGTCCGAAGACGTTTCCGTGGTCATGTGGCCGGCATGACTAAACACCGAGGCGCACGGAACGCTGTTACCTTCCTACCGAAGTGGTACCTATTTATCTACTTGCAATTTCTTGCTTTCGAACTGCTAGGTTGGCAGGCGCTGGAACTAGAGACGGGAGCTCACTCCGTCATGCGGCAACTCGGGTTTCGAACTGCTGAACTACCGACCTTCCACAGCCTGCAGTTCAGCTACCGCAGCTCCTATGGTACCCATAAATAATTACAAAACACGCTCAGTCAGTTCTTCCATGATTTGATTTCTTCCTGAATATCAAAACTGGAAGTTGCTAGTCGACTCAGAGCAACTGAGTGGCTAGGCCTGGTGCTGTTAGCTTTAGCTTTCCAGATCAGCTTCTCTGGGCTGCAGAAACATTCGTGTTCAGATTTCCACTGATGAGCTCTTCCTGATGACTATACAAGGTCAATTAATGATGCCAGTGTTTTCTATCGCCTTTTTTTTTAGACTAGATTTTTAGCTCTGGTTTTAATGATCGTTTTCTGGGGGTGGTTTTAAAATGTGATTTTATGGTGTATGTTTTACTTTGTTAGCCGATTTGGTGGCCCTTGTGAGAGCAAAAAGGCAGGATATACATTTTTGTCAAATAAATAGTACCCAAAACATTTAGCTGTTTTCATATAAGATCAGGCTACTGCCTCTGTGATAGATCTCTGATCTGTAAGCCAGATGTGAAGCTTGCTGATCCTTCAGACTAGAGGGCTGCCAACTGCTTTGAGACTGGATGTGGCCCCTGTAGTAGAAATAAGTTGTAAACAGCCACATCGGCCCTTGCAAAATCCAGAAAAAGAACCAAAATAATTTGTCCGTAATAAAAGGCATTACATGATCGTGCTTCTCTCATTGTGGCCCCAATATTTTTTATCTGGCTCCGGTTTGAACCAAGATGCAGTTTTGGATGTTAAGAAATAAAACATTTTCAAATGGCTCCATATTATATTCCATGCTTTAATATATTGCACGTTTCTTTGGGTTTGTATATATAATCCCTTAGCTTTACCTGAAACATGTTCCATAAATCCCTGTTGCTGGATGATGTCGACTTCACCATGGGCCTTAATCTTTCATTTCTTTGAGGAAAAATATGTTCATCTCCTGGACCACTTTTTGTAGAATAGAATGGCCTTTGAGAACATCGAAGCTGACACAAGTGAATTCGTGTGTATCCTTGCTTTAGACAAAAGGTCTGTGGAGCTGCTCTGAGCAGGTTAGGAGTGCTGTGATGAGGGAAGCCACCCTAAACTATGCTGGAGTACTTGCAGCTTATGACTGTCTACTTCTCAAACCATCTGAATCTCCAGTGAGGCACCAGGACTTTAAAGCAATAAATGGTAGTCATGACGTTTCCCCCCCCCTTCCCCTTTCAGTTTCTTGAACGTTGGTCATCACCGGAATAAATACCAGTCTTCCAAGACTCACCTTCCTTTGGCTAGCATGGATGAGAATGCAATGGATGCTAACATGGATGAACTCTTAAGTCTCTGCTCTGGCCAGTTCGCCTCCCAGAACAAGCCCTCTGCCAATGGCGATAGCAACAACAAGCAGAACATCGAGGAACTGCTCAATCTTTGCTCTGGGAAGTTTGCGTCTCAGGGTGAGTGATGAGTATTAATGCCGACAGCAAAACAGAGCCTGGTCTTTGTGTTGAAGCTGGACTCGAGCACCGTGTTTCCAACAGCTTGGCACAGAATCCTTGCCCCAAGAATATGTTGCACAGCACTCGGCATGCAGACTAAAGGAAGGCGGTTAATGGGCATGTATTTCCATCCAACACATTTAGCTGTGTTGTCTGGAAATGTATGGTCATTTCTTGTTCATTTTTTTTATACCTGGGTGGCTAGAACCAGGGTTGGACCAAGGAGTTTTGGTGCCTTCGGCGGCAAATTAATTTGCTGCCATTGCCTGCTGTCCTCACTTGACCACCATGCACTGTGATGAGGTGGAAAGCTGGTGCCCACCTTTCTTGTCTCTTGCACCACAGGGGAGAGAAGGTGGAAGAGTGCCTACCCCCCCAACAGAGGGAGAAAAGGAAGGAGCAGGCTCCGGCAGGCTGCCTCATGGGGCCAGGGACACACCTTGTGAGGCGGACCCTGATGCTGTGGGCAGGCAGGGCGGTGACAGGACCAATTGGCACCCCTCCACCTCTGGCACTGTAGGCAGGCACCGAGTGGACAGGATGGCCTTGGCTGTAACATATGGAGCTTTTGGGAGGGCCCCACTCCATCAGTCGCCCACTCACTGCATATTGAGATACGAGGAGGAGGAAATGCGGCTGCTTCAGCAGCAGCATTAAAGACTAGGGATATGTGACTGGGTTATCCTGGCATGATTTTTTTAAACAAAACAAAACATGTTTTGAGGTTGAGCTATAGCCTTGCCATTATTATTGTGGCTGCGGCTTTTGCTGACTTATACCTGATACAGTGAGTATAGCTGAAAATGGCTGCCTCCTCTTTGTATCAATGCAAATTCCCTCTGTTATTGGTGTAACTGTACACACACAGAAATGTTGAATGTTTGCCTCTGAAGAATTGCCACAGTGACCCAAGGTCTCTGAATGAGCAGATGCGAGACTACATACAACTTGGGAGCTTTCCTGGTGAAGATCAGCTTCAAAATGGATTTCAGTTAGCCATCTGTCATCACTGTTACTTGCTGAATGTGGTATTCTGTGTGCCGTTTTGACGAGGATTTCTGTCTTTATGTAATCGGCTATACCTTGTCTTTTGTCCTTATTTGTTTCTGCAGTATGTTGAATATAATCCTTATAACACTCTCTTTATCATTGTTTTTGTGTTACACCTCTAGTGTGTGAGTACTTCTGTTTACTGCTGTCATTATCATGGCTGCATAAACTGCCAGAGGAGAGGGAAAGCTGTCTGTCTGTGGTCTCCAGGGTGATCTTTGGCAAGCCCAAGACTGCCTGCGGGCTGCTGACAGCTCATCTATATTCTAATGCCTTCTCAACTCTGGTTCCTTAGATGCTCCCACTCAGACCTCATCAACATCTTCCCAGCTGAAGAAAGAGAGCCGCTCAGATCCCATGGCTGAAGCGCTGGCTCTCTGTTCTGGCTCCTTCCCAACAGACAGGTGAAGTGTGGAAGTTTGAGATGTGCAAATGTTTCTATTCTGTAGAGATTTCCCCACTTGCTTCAGTGGAGTGGGGTCAGATGTGTCTGCCCAAAAGGCTGTGCACTGAGATGAGGGTATGTTTGTGTTTGAGAGATAGACCAACCACTTGCCCAGCAGGGCATGCATGTTGAAGGACAGGCTAGATGATACATTGCAGTGAAGCTTTTAAAAAATCCAGCCATCCTTTATTGCCTCAGATTATAAAAGGTTTTCAGTCATAAGAACATAAGAGAAGCCAGTGTTGGATCAAGCCAATGGCCCATCCAGTCCAACACTCTGTCACACAGTGGCCAAAAATACCAGGTGCCATCAGGAGGTCGATCAAACAGAAGGTCTCTGTCTGCCTAATCCCTAGTAGGTGCTGCTACTTTTCCTGTTATGCATCTTGTGGCTTCGAGAAGATTTTCCGTGACTAGTCTATAGCAGGAAGAAGACACTTGAGTGCTGTGGCACCTGAGATTGTCATGATAGACCAAGTGGCTCTTTAAGGTGCTGTAACACTTCTTGTCCTACAGGCAGTTTTGTGTCCTAGGAAATTAGCTGCGGCACCCTGAACAGCAATTCAGCTACATGCCAAACCTGTTACATTCCAGCTGCTGAGTGAGGTATACTTTAAAAAAAACCACAAATTTATCTTTCCTATAGGGAAGGGGAAGATGAAGAGGAGGAAGAGTTTGGAGACTTCCAGCTTTTAACAGATGACCATGCCTCTGATAGTGAAGATGTGAGTATTGTACACTACGGCAATTTATGGTAGAACTGAGCATCATACACACTTGTGGCTATCTCAGAAATTGTTTCTCTTCCGAAGCACACGGCCATATTCTAGCTTGTTTTCTACTGACCAGATCCAGTCCTCTGATAGTCGGTTTCCAGGGAAAACAGAAATTCTGCACTTAGAGGAGCTTGGTTCCTCAATCAATATACATTATGCGGGTTTTCTGAGCATGCACGTCTTTCTCTTCCTTTGCATACTTTGTTCTGCCTTTACTGGTGACAGAGAAGAGCTTAGCAAGGCACTGAAGTTCTGTGCCAGGGGTAGAAGGGGGCAGCTCCAAGTGCTGGAAAAACAAAAGGAGAAGTGGACAGTGTACTTAGAAACAACACAACCCTCTCAAAGTGAGCCAAATTAGCTGTTAGTGTTAGAACAAGATGGTTCAAGAGTCTCCTGTCCTTGAAGGAGATCATTTAAAGTAGTTGGAGTGTGTCATATGCTATAGTATCATTTTTGTTTCTGGACACCAGCCTTCCCCTTCCTTTTGTTTGTTTGTGTGTGTGTGTTTTTCCCATTCAGACCCAAACCCTTTGGAAACATTAATTCAGCTAGCCATCTCTCATCGGGCATCGATCTCATGCTTTCAAGCATCTCTCTGCGACCATAAAGTCTAGAAACTTACCTTTCTGTTTAAAGCGAGCCTACAGCCCCTTGCAGTGAATTGATGCCTCTCTCTGGCTGTGATCAGAGAGCAACATCTGGGAAGCGTCCCGTAGTAAACGGGTTGCGGCAGGCCATGGACGGACTTTCCCCTGTCTGGTCACTCAAGCAGGCTCTCTCATGCCGTTGGAATGGTCTGATCAGGCCATCTGGATTCTGTGCCGTTGTTTCCCTCCCCCCCCCCCACAATATGCGCATCATCACAAACTCCATAAGGAGCCATCAGTCGATTCCTCATTTAAGCGCATGGGTAACAAACGGCAAAAAAAAGAAAAGACTTACCCGCGGTTGTGTCTGTGATCTCGCAACTACATGTCAAATTCCTCTGGAGGAAATAGCCTCGTTTCCCCTCCACCTCAACTCTGTAGGCTTTTTGTGCTCCTCCAGAATTTACAGTATATGTGCAGCCCTGCAATTGGGATAATTTTGAATGAAAGACAGGCCTGAATGTAAATAAAATAAAAATAAAGATTGCAGGGAGTGATAATGGAGCTGGTAAGATGCCGCAAGGATTTCTGAACCCATGATTTTCTGGACCGATAGGATAAGAAGAGCAAAAGAGATGAGGAGGATAAAGAAGACAGTGAACAGGAGGAAGAGGAGAGTGAAACTGAAGTGGAAGTCGATGATGATGATGATGAAGAGGAGGTGTTGCGACAAAGAGAAGGAGTGACGAAGAAATTGTAAGTCCATCCTAGTCTTGTTGATAAAAACAAAACGCTGTTGTAATTGTGCTCTGTTATCTGAATTTCAATAAATCGGAACAACCCAAAAAAGTTTCTATTGGTTGAATATGAAACATGCTGGCCAAAAAGTTGCCCAGAGGCTCACCTGAAAAAATGAATACTTTTTTTTTCTGTGGCGAGCACGGGGAGTCTGCGCTTCCACTAGAACTTTGTTGTGGCAGACCCTTCCATAGCTCTCCATCTTTGGAATGATGTGAACGTGAAATGCAGGCTGAGAGTCAGTCACGACTGCCGTGGACATGCTGTAGTGTTGCAGCCAGGGCTATTTTGGGGCAGGAACGCACAGGAACGGAGTTCCGGCTGGCTCCCAAGTTGGCCACGCCCAGCAGGGACTCATTAGCATAATAGGCCACACCCAGTGGCAGGAACTCATTAGGATTGGCTACATTAGGGGTGTGTGGCCTAACATGCAAAGGCGTTCCTGCTCCAAAAAAAGCCCAGGGTTTTGACAACAAACAAGGTAAACAGAATAAGAAGCAAAAGGTGGGTGTGGCTGGATAACCACACTTCTGGTAACACGGGGGTGTGGCCTAATATGCTAATGAGATGTGCTGTGTCATGGGTGTGGCCTAATATGCTAATGAGTTCCTGCTGGGCTTTTTCTGCAAAAAAAAGCCCTGGTTGCAGCCATCCCATCTGCAGGACCGTTCTAGTTCAGCAAAGTGTGTTGCTAATGTAGACAGAAAATACAAGGGTTCATTGGTATGTGATGCTTTCGAAATGTAGGCCTGGTTCTGAGGTTGTGGCAAGGTATCTAAAATGAGAACGTAACCCAGAACCTCTAGGTCTGCTGCTGCTTCTCACTGGGAAGCCAGCCAGGTTGGAAACCCTCCCTTGCTCCCGCATGCAGCTTCTGGCACATTGCTCCCTGGACAAGTTTGTGCAGCGAACGACCCTGGCAAGGCCCATCTTGATGGTGCCAGTCTCCGCACAGGGGAGGCAGCATGTCCAAGAGTTTTCTGAGATATGTACCGGTTTTGCACTCCTAGTTCTCCCACCTATCTGGCCAGTTTGGCAGCTTTTGTCAACCAAGTAGACCATGCCTTTCTCTCCTGGCTCTTAATAACACACACCTGTGCTCATCATTCACCTTAGTGTTAAAATGTTTACCCAAGTTTGAAAACAGTAAAGGAATCCTTCCATCATTTAAACGCTTTAATCGTTTGCATCCCTGATCCTAGCCTGAATTACGTCCCAGTGGGGAGGACCAGAAATGCTTAGCCATTGACAGAGCTGTCCAGGCTTTCCAAATAATCTTGATGCACATAACACAAGCTTGTAAAGCCATTTGCCTAATGGGAATAATCATTCTTTCTAGGCAACCGGATAGGAAAGGGTTTGTAATCTAGAGGAGTTCTTGCTTTCAGGCATCAAAATACCGGGAGTGGCTAACCGAAGTATGTTTGAAAGCCAGATGGTAAAAACTTCAGTGATGTCAGATTTATTAGAATGGCTGACATCCTGTTGGCTACTGCCATTTCAAGCAGTAGTGTCTATCAGGGGTCATTTCGTAGAAAAAGAGGTGCAGGAGCTCATTAGCATAACTCATTAGCATAACTTATTTGCATATGCCACATTCCCTGACATCACCGGAAGTGTGTCAGAAGGCAACACCCACCACTCAGGCTGCACTGGACTGTTTTGGATTGCTAGCTATGGGGGGGGGGGATGTGCAGATCGGTCTTCGCAGAGGAGACCTGAATAAAACTTGGTCTTAAAGGTGCCACTGGACTGTTTTGGATCAGGGGGCCCGGGGGGGGGGGGGGTTCTGCAGCTTACCTGGCTGCTTCTTGCTCTAACTGAGGGCTGCTGGGAACAGGGGGTGGTGCTTGTTGCATGTGCCCACCTCCTGGTCTCTTTACTGCCGGAGCTCTGCTCCTGTGCGCTCCTGCAGGAAATGACCCCTGGTGTCTATCAATATAGTATCTGTAACGTCATAATGCCTTGTTGTGTCTGGCATCCCAGTTCCCATGAGATGCTCTAGTTCAGAGGTAGGCAGCCTCCCACCCCACCACGTGAGGTGGACTAGACCCTTTGACCCCTGGTGTCTATCAATATAGTATCTGTAACGTCATAATGCCTTGTTGTGTCTGGCATCCCAGTTCCCATGAGATGCTCTAGTTCAGAGGTAGGCAGCCTCCCACCCCACCACGTGAGGTGGACTAGACCCTTTTGCTTGGCACCGAGGGCCAGATTTCCACGCAAACAGTCAAGGCATTGGCAGCAGTGCTAGGAGCAGCAGTGCAGGAGAAAGCAGCAGGCGTGGCTGTTATGCCTGTTGTCACCTCTCTCACCTGCACAGCAAGCAGCCAAGGCAAACCCTTGAGATGCTGGCAATGCCTGTGAGGTTTGGCTTGCTCCAGCCATGTCTGGCGAAGTACAAACCTTGTCTCCGCGCCCCCCCCCGGGGGGGGCTCTCATTTCCTAACACACCAACACCTTCACAGGTAGATGTTGCAATTTTTTTTCCAGCACTTCGGTCAGAAAGGTTGCCCACCGTACTCTAGTGTGGAGGTTAGAGAGTACGTGCTTTGCGTTGGAGGCTTTGCATTTGATTCTGGCATCTCCAGAGTACAGAGGTTTGCTGGCAGCAGGACAACGAGAGAGCTTGATTTTACCTGAGACCTTGGAGAGCTGGGGTCAGGTCCTGGGGATCCGTCCCTCTAGTGGAGGGGCTTTCCTCTGACAAAAGGAGGCTTCCTGTGATGTGGAATGTGGATTTTTAGGTTACCTCCTTTTGTTACAACGTCTAGGTTAATACAGGAGCAGGGTTTGAAGATGATACAGAAATGGTATTATACACCGGTTAAGCTGAGCTGTATTTCAAAATCAGGCAGTAAAAATTGTTGGAGGAAATGTGGAGAGGTGGGAACGTTCAGTCATATGTGGTGGGATTGTCCTTTGGTAAAGAAATTTTGGGATCAGGTTGGTATAGAAATGTCGGGGATTGTGGGAAGAAGGGTTAGAATATCTAAAGCAATGGCACTTATTAGTTTGGATGGTATAGGGTTAAGGTTAAAAGAGGAATGTAAATGGATAAATTTGATGTTAGTAGCAGCAAGACAAGTGATTGCAAGGAATTGGAAAGAAGCTGAGGAACTGACGATTAATCATTGGAGGGAAAAAATGAATAATATAATAATTTTAGAGTATCTTACAATGAAGATACGTAGAATGAATGGGTTAAAGGTTAAAGACCAAGAGGAGGACTGGTTTAGAAGGATGGCGGGGTATTTGGGAAAGTTTAAAAAATTGGGGGTGATTAGTCAGTTAATAGGAAATTGAGAGGTTAATTTGATTATAAGATTAAGATGGAAGGTTAATAGAGTGATAGAGTTGTACTGAGATTGATTGTGATATAAAACTGTATGGAATTTTATTTATGTCTCTAATGCCTGGAAGTTGCACATGGGTGGTGTTGGTGTTGGACATGTTTTATGAAATAAAAACAATATTAAAACAATATTAAAAAAAAGGAATATTCTGTGAGCCTCTTGTGTCAGGCAAAGGCTTCTTCCACTGGAAGGCAATGCAGCCCCAGTACAGATTCCTTGCCAATCAGGGATCGATGCTGCTGAACGAGGCAGATCTTTAGTCCGTCTCTGCATAGCGTAGCTTGTTAAATCTTACATATTTATGTTTTTTGTCTTACTCCTGTCAGTAAATTGCAGGACTTCATGGAGGACGAGGCTGAGCTGTCAGGAAGCGAAGTAGGAAGTGAGGACGAATACGATGGCGAGGATCTCAACGAGTATGAAGAAGAAGTCATTGACGAGGAGCTCCCCACCCCTGTGGAACTCCAGGACCAAGTCAACAAAATACATATGTCAGTAGCTGCAGATACGCTGATGCAATTTCACGCTCTTAATGAGTGGGCAGTGCCTTTTTCTTTCCGGAGAATGGCCGCCTCATTCTTGAATAAAGACTGATCTAAGCTTCCCTTCCCTTCTGCGGGGACTCTTTTAGGAAGGTGATGCTGGACGAAGACAAGCGGCAGCTCCGCTTGTATCAGGAGAGGTACCTTGCGGATGGAGACCTACACAGCGATGGCCCTGGGCGAGCAAGGAGGTTCCGGTGGAAGAACATAGGTATAGACTGCCTCTCTCTTTGATCTGGTCAGCCTGTGATTCCTCCAAGCTGAACACAGTTCACCAACCGCATAATACAATCTGCCAAATGCTTGATAAGCTCTCTTCTTGCAAAGCTCAAGGCTTACAGAGCCCCTAGTGGACAGGGGTCTTTGATTTCTGGTTTGATTTGCAGAACCTTGGCCATCTTCCAGACACTGGCCAGCATCTTTGTTGAGTCTGTGTATACCAAAATATAGGAGAACTTTTCTGTTGGTGCACTGCACTATTTTGCCAGCAAGCCTTGTGGGAACATTACAAGCAAATACCTTCAAATGATTGAGAGTGCTCACAGGGAGACAGAGACTCTATTTAACCTATGTGGTGGAGTTTTATACTTACGATCAAAGAGTTAGAGATGAAGTAATTGTTCCGTTCCTGGCTCTGGTACCCTGCCATTCAACAGAAGAGCTAGTTGCCCTTTTCCTATGCTGGAAGAAATGTACATATCGCCGAAAGAATGGCTATTTTTGTTCTCTTTTTTTATTGTAGTCATTGGAACTAGGTACTGAAAGTTGAAAGAATACTGTTAACCTGCTTACGATCTGAGAAAGGGTAGATGGGGCCACTGCACTGCCCAATGCAGCTGACCTGGTTTCCTTGTATGTGGCTTCAGAGCAAAGGTTGCTGCTCTAACACCAGGAGGGGCCGTGGTGGCTCAGAGCATCTAAATTGCACATAGAAGACCTCAAGTCCAGTCCCTGACATCTCTACTTACAGCACCTTGGGTACCTACCAGGACAGCTGCCTCTGACCTTGGAGAGCTGCTGCCCAATTGGAGTGGACAATACTGAACTGTAGAAGGACCCAGTGGTCTTGGCTGGTGTAAGGCAGCCGGATGTATGTAGTTGGCCATCCAGAGGCTGCATCAGGCACAGACCCTGCTGAGGTGCCGTCTCTTCCCCCTGTGAGACGGTCATAACTCCATTTTGGAGGCAGAATTTGAACCCCGGCTCTGATCTGTTGACCGCGCAAGGGAAATCTTTCAGAAGATTCTGGGTGGAAATAATTCGTTTTCTGTCCATTGTTCTAGATGATGCTTCTCTGGCGGACATGTTTCACCAAGATGCTGACGATGGAGAGGAGAACGAAGAGCATCTCGACGAAACAGAGGCTAAGTGGAGGAAGGATCGCTTCGAGAGGGACCAGTGGCTCCGCGAACAGGTAGCAGGTTTGATCTTTCCGATGAGCTGCGTCTAAGATTATTTTAATATACTTCCTGCTTTTATCCAAACATAATTGTGAGAGAATTGGAGATGTTCTACCTTGTCACCCTTGATTTGAAGGTTCAGAAAAGGGGTGGTGGTTGTCGTTTTGTATTTTTGCATGTGTGTGTGTCCGTGCCTGTGCCTGGAAGTCATGGTGACCTCTGGCAACTCCTACCGGGTCATGGAGGACATTCAGAGAAGCGGCTTGATAGCCTACCTCTGCCTCCCAGCCCTGGTATCCTTTGGAGGTCTCCCATTCAAATACTTGCCAGGGTCGTCCCTGCTTATCTTCTGAGATCTGACGAGATCAGGCTTGCCTGGGCTATCCAGGTCAGGGCGATGCAGAAAAGTTGGTTGGTTGGTTGGTTTACTACTTAGCATTGTTGATTGGGTGTAAACAAAGGCATCAAAGATAACAAATATTGGTAATAAAAATATTAACTTAAATTTCTTCATGCCAACATTGGCGGTAGACTTTTCAAGTTTTCATTGGGTGGTTATGAATGAAGAAATCTGGAGTTCAGTCCTACACAAACACAAATTGGACTGATGTATATTATCACTTCAAAGAATAATTGGTTAAACAAATGCAGTCAGTGATAGCATGTAGAGAAATTTTGAAAAGCAGCTAACAAGCTTTGTAAGTAGAGTGTAAGTGAACCATGTTAGTATTGTACAACTCATGCTTTTCTTAAAATAATACGTCAGTGGTTTAAAGACTGTTTTGTGCACTTAGCTCTTTAGGGAAAAATAAGTGTACAGCTAAAATATAACATGTGAGCGAGACAGCTAAAATTGTGTGGCTGCTACTGAATAGACATTCATCAGGGTACTGCAGCCAATGTGTGTAATGACCCCCAAGGTGATTTCGCTTTTAAAAAAGCGTTGCATTAGTACAGTGGGTTTCAGTCCAGTTGTTGTTTCTGCTTTTGTATTAGTTTTTCCTGTGATGAAGGTCTTTTTATTTGTAGTCAGAGAGAGGAGAAAAGGAAGAGGAGGATGTTGATGAAGACAGCCAGTTCATGAAACTGGCTAAGAAACTGACTGAAAAATCCCTGCAAAAGAAAGGTCAGTCTGCTTCATACCAAAGTGTTGTTACCAGTGCTTGCAGAACCTTTACTTAGGATGGGCAAATGGGTTTGTAAATCCTAGCCGTGAACCCAAAACTCCATGAATCAGGTTCTGTGCCTGAAATATGCTTTTTACACTTATGACACATCACAGTTTAATCCTAGGCATGTATTCTCAGAAGTAAGTCTCGTTGAGTTCAATAGGACTCCTTCCCTAGTAAATATGCTTGGTATTGCAGCTCTAAATATGTAACCACTGGACAGGTGTCTGTAGTGGCCTGCAGTTCCTGATAGGAAGGCGTGAGAAGATACCTGGTGGTTTTTGGGTTTGGGGCTGTGTGGAAGAAGAGGAGAAAGGGGTGCAGAAGGCAAGGATGGAAAGAGTTGTGTAGACTGAAAATAGGGAAGGGTTCTTATTGAGCTGGCTGTGGTGGTGTTTGTCTTTTATTCCTCCTCTGTGTCAGAACCCACAGCTTACAACGAAGTACACACATTCAGGAACAGTTATACTTTTATTGCAAAGCTATAGATGCAGTAACACAGGCAATGTTAAGAATGGCGGTAACCCATTGAGCATAATAGGATATAGGGCATTCGTATGCAAACCACCACCACCACCCCGGCATGGGCCAATTAGCTACCCTCCCGCGCGCGGGACCAGCTAGGAAACCGTTAGGTGGTGAAAGGTGGGAAGCAGTAGCCTCTCACGGTACATAGGAGACTTCCAGACAATACAACCTCCTCCTGCACATCTGTAGAGATAAGCATTTCAGCACAGGCAGAACAGCAGAGACAGGAATGCAATAGCAATTACCAAGACACAGAACGAACTCCCCAACCCCCATGGCAGCATAGCTGGCACTCTGTTGCTTATTTTCAGATTTGGGAATTGTCTTTGAGACAGGAAACCCATGCACTTAAAAAGAAACACCATATTGTCTTTATTGCCTTGAACTCCTGGATTCAACTCTCATGGGAAATCTCTATACATTTTATAGATCTGTAGCAGGTCACACATTTGCTTCTCTTCCCAAGTAGTGGTCTATAAACTGTGACTTAACCTTTCCTCTTTGGCTGGACCCAGCATGACTCCGTCTGAGGGGTTTGTCTAATTGACTTTCTGGCTCTGCGGAGCCAGCATGGTGTCGTGGTTAAGAGAAGCGGACTGTAATCTGGAGAACTGGGTTTGGTTCTGCAGTCCTGCAAACGAAGCCTGCTGGGTGACCTTGGGCCAGCCACAGTTCTCTTAGAACTCTTTCAGCCCCACCTACCTCACAAGGTGCCTGTTGTGGGGAGAGGAAGGGAAGGCGATTGTAAGCCACTTTGGGACGCCTTACAGTAGAGAAAGGTAAAGGTAAAGGTTCCCTTGCTCGAAAGCCAGTCGAGTCCGACTCTAGGGTTGCGGTGCTCATCTTCGTTTCAAAGCCGAAGAGCCAGCGCTGTCCGAAGACGTTTCCGTGGTCATGTGGCCGGCGTGACTAAACACCAAGGCGCACGGAACGCTGTTACCTTCCCACCGAAGTGGTACCTATTTATCTACTTGCAATTTCTTGCTTTCGAACTGCTAGGTTGGCAGGAGCTGGAACTAGAGACAGGAGCTCACCCTGTCATGCGGCAACCCGGGTCTCGAACTGCTGAACTACTGACCTTCCACAGCCTGCAGTTCAGCGTCTTAACCACTTGAGCCACTGCAGCTCCTACAATAGAGAAAAGTGGGGTATAAAAACCAACTCTTCTCCTCTGCACAACACCACTACAACGCCATCCCAGATTTACAAAGCTTTCTTTCTTTGTTCTCCTCCATCTAGCACCCTCAGTAATAGCAGTACAGGAAACAAAATCGATACCCAGGAATCCATTTGAAACTTTACAGTCTTCCAGCAACCCACAGGTGAGTAGCTCTGTGGCCTAAATTTGAGGATGATTTCCCCCTCCTTCATAGTGTAACCGGATAGATCTCCCCTGCCTCCACCCCCTAAAAATGAATGTGGGCATCATTTTGAGTAATGGATGCTGGAGTGTATGGCAGGTTATTGCCCTTGTCTTTGAACATGTGAGATCAATTGTAGAGCCGTGTGCTTTGCAAGTAGAAGACCCTGGGTGTTCAGTCCCTGGCTTCTTAATGTACAGGACTGGGGGGGAGATCAACTGCTGAATATCACAGAGTTCAACTGCTAATCAGCACTATCTATACTGGGTCGGTCTGACTTCCAGTATCTATGTTTGTAACACATTTCTAATACAGCCAGTTTCTACATACACAGAAGGCATGAAAGACTTTTACTACATACACACAAAGCTGCCTTCAGGCTCTTGGTCTGTAACAGTCAATCTTGTCTTCTCTGACTGCCAGCAGGTCTCCAGGATTTAAGGGAAGGGTCTTCCACATCACCTACTGCCTGGTCCTATTCAGCTGTTCATGCCAGGCATTGAACCTGGGACTTTTTGCATGCAAAGCCGATATTTTAGCACTGAGCTGTGGTCCCTTCCAAAATTAATAGCTTGCCTGAATACACATGAAGCTGCCTTCTACTGAGTCAGACCATCAAGGCCGCTCTTGCCCATTCTTCAGCAGCCTTCCAGCGTCTCAGGATGAAGTATTTCACATCACCTGCGAAAACGGGATATGCCCGGGATCGAACCCAGGATCTTCTGCATACAAAGCAGATGCTCTGCCAACTGGGCCCCAGCCCTGCCTTGATTGTAGAGTGTTTCCCTGTGAGAAAAGTATAATTTGGTTGTTTGGAGTCGTGTTCGGTGTACTAAACCGTGGTGTTTTGTATGGCTTGCAGATATTTTATGTACATTGTACCCAATGCTCCCTCTGAGCTGTGGAGTCTTGTGAGCAAAGATTCTACTTTGTGAGCTCCTGGCATTAAAATTGTGAGCGAGTGATTTGGCCGCTGCATAAATCAGTTTGCTCTGGAGCCCTCCTTCCTGAGCCAAGACGAAAAGGTGTGAGCCGGAGGCTAAAAAACTGTGAGCTAGCTCACACTAACTCAGCTTTGAGGGAACAATGATTGTACCTATGTGCCCCCCTCTTTACAGCTAAAGAATGGATCGCTGCTGAATAGGCCTAAAGCCGTCCTTCAGAAACTGTCAGCGATGTCGGACCTCAACCCAAATGCCCCCCGGAACTCACGCAATTTCATCTTCCAGACACTTTCCCCTGAGAAGAGCAAGGAGGCAAGGGAGACGTCCAAGCCCCAGGTAGGTCTCTGCTAAGGGATGTTTGTGTGGGGGAGGGTCAGTTACTCTGCTGTACCTAGGGCAGAATTGTCTGGGGCAGAGTTTGCACCCACGACTCACCAGCAGATTGAGACAGCTGTGATCTTCAGCTAAGGTGCAGCATCTTTGCCATACCATTGAAAAAAACAGCTTAGGTGCACTTGGAGGGAGCGTGTCTGTTCCAAAGCTTTGAAGGGTCGGGCTGTGCACATGCTTGTGTATAGATGCAAAGTCTAGACCACTGCTTAGAGTTGTGATTGAGTCACAGCACTGCAGGAATTCCTACACGTGATATCAAATACCCACATTAAAGGATCTTGGGTACCAATACCAGGAAAGGCTTCTGCCTGAAACTTAGGGCACATGAACCCCAGGGATGTTGCTTTATATCTTTTGCATTTTTCTGGCATGTCTGCAGCAATCCTGTTTTGGAAACTCCTCTTC